ATAATGTCCAGGGTACGATATGCCCAGTGTCGAAATGGCCAGTGCCTTGAATGGGCCAGAGTTCATAATGTCCAGGGATTTGCATGGTCCAAATGCGGCCAACTGGCTGCAGATTGGGTATTTTCAAAGAGGCCAGGGTTCATAATGTCCAGGGCACGATGTGTCCAGTGTTAGAAATGGCCAGGGCTCATAATGTCCAGGGCACGATGTGTCCTGTGTTAGAAATGGCCAGTGCCTTGAATGGGCCGGAGTTGATAATGTCCAGGAATTACATAGTCACTGAAAATGACGTCATTATGTAAAAAACACGGAACCAGCTCAATGCGAGGTAGTGCAGTGCCGAAGGCAATGCCTTAGGAGAGATTGCAATCTATTCATGCGAGAAAATATTTCCTTATCCCCGGTAGGCAAACATCACTACCTTAGGTTAGGTTAGGTTAGGTTAGGTTAGGTTAGGTTAGACTAGGGTAGGTTTTACCTCAGGTCAATGGTTTAGCCTCCAGAGGGCAAAAAATACAAAAATAGCCGTTTTTACGAAAAGCGTTTTTTTCGGCAATAACTGTTGACTCAAAAGAGCCATGACATTACTTTTGCCAGCATCGTGTTCCTCTCGTCGAGACGCGTCGAATGAACTATAATTTGACCTTGAAAGGTCAACTTGAAAATTTGACCTCAGGGCTCAGGTCAAGGTCAACTTGAAAATTTGACCTTAGGTCAAGGTCATGACCTGACCGGAAAAGGTCATGTTGCATATCAGTCGATCCGCAACATCGAGTCGAACACATCTAAGGCGTTTTCAGCGCTCTAGCACGCCTCTATCAGAAGTTATTAGCGAAAAACTGTTAGATTCTGTTCGTGACCTGAGATGACCTCGGGGACATAACGAGGGGTCACAGTTGCCATTTTCCGGTTCAGTGTGTCAATTTTACCTACATCTCGATGTTTGAGAGTGTCTAGAATTGCGTTCGTGCAAAACAGACGCTTTTCAATTTTCTCCCATTGACTTATAATTGGGAGGCCGCAAAATTGACCTGACCTTAGGTCACCGATATCAAAATTCCGAGATATAAATTTTATAGATAATGTTGCTCTTATCAATCGCTGAAAGTTTCAAGGCAATCGATTCCTACCCATCTGTTGACGATGGGTAGGAATAGCCTGAAGCTTATTCGGGATTGCCCAAATACACGTGAATATGAATATGAATATGAATATGAATATGATCAATCGGTGTAGCTATGACGAGCATTCTTATTTTTTTCTGAGGTGAGGTCACTTGGCGTGACCTGGTGACCTGACCTAAGGCGACATGGGTCTGAAATTTTCACAACATGTGCGAAAAAGATGCACGGACAGGTGTGTCAAGCGCTGTTTTTGAGATATCTGCGAAAAACCGCAGGGGGGTTTTCCAAACACCCCCCGGCCCCGCGCAGGTTAGGTTAGGTTAGGTTAGGTTAGGCTGGGTTTGGTTGCGTTGGGTCGACTATGTAATCCCTGGACACTATGAACTCTGGCCCATTCAAGGCACTGGCCATTTTAAACACTGGACACATCGTGCCCTGGACATTATAAACCCTGGCCATTTCAAACACTGGACACGTCGTGCCCTGGACATTATGAACCCTGGCATTTCTAACACTGGACACATCGTGCCCTGGACATTATGAACCCCCTGGCCTCTTTGAAAATGGGGAGCATTCATTCTGGCCAGGGTTCATAATGTCCAGGGTACGATATGCCCAGTGTCGAAATGGCCAGTGCCTTGAATGGGCCAGAGTTCATAATGTCCAGGGGTTGCATGGTCCAAATGCGGCCAACTGGCTGCACAGATAGGGTATATTCAAAGAGGCCAGGGTTCATAATGTCCAGGGCACGATGTGTCCAGTGTTCGAAATGGCCAGGGTTCATAATGTCCAGGGCACGATGTGTCCAGTGTTCAAAATGGCCAGTGCCTTGAATGGGCCAGAGTTCATAATGTCCAGGGATTACATAGTCACTGAAAGTGACGTCATTATGTAAAAAACACGGAACCAGCTCAATGCGAAGCAGTGCAGTGCCGAAGGCAATGCCTTAGGAGAGATTACAGGCAATAGTAAATCAAATATTTTTAGGTTAAGTGGTTATGTATCTGGCTTCAGGCCGAAGGCCTAAAGCCTGATGCATAACCACTTAACCTAAAAATATTTGATTTACTATTGCTTGCAATCTATTCATGCGAGAAACTATTTCCTTATCCCTGGTAGGCAAACATCATTACCTTAGGTTAGGTTAGGTTAGGTTAGGTTAGGTTAGGTTAGGTTAGGTTAGGTTAGGTTAGGTTAGGTTAGGTTAGGTTAGGTTAGGTTAGGTTAGGTTAGGTTAGGTTAGGTTAGGTTAGGTTAGGTTAGGTTAGGTTAGGTTAGGTTAGGTTAGGTTAGGTTAGGTTAGGTTAGGTTAGGTTAGGTTTGGTTGGGTTGGGTTGACTATGTAATCCCTGGACATTATGAACTCTGGCCCATTCAAGGCACTGGCCATTTTAAACACTGGACACATCGTGCCCTGGACATTATGAACACTAGCCATTTCGAACACTGGACACATCGTGCCCTGGACATTATGAACCCTGGCCATTTCGAACACTGGACACATCGTGCCCTGGACATTATGAACCAACACTGGCCAATTCAGGGCACTGGCCATTTCGAGCACTGGACACATTGTGCCCTGGACATTATGAACCCTGGCCTAAATAATACGCACCCTTGATATCTGCAGCCAGTTGGCCGCATTTGGACCATGCAATCCCTGGACATTATGAACCCTGGCCCATGTAAGGCACTGGCCATTTCGAGCACTGGACGCATCGTGCCCTGGACATTATGAACCCTGGCCTAAATAATACGCACCCTCCGCCGGCGGATAGCCCTACGGGGCGCGGGATAAGCATTCTTCAGTGTAGACTTTGGTAAAAGCACTTTTTACCAAGAAAAAAAAAGACGAGTGATAAAACGTACCTAACTATCATATCCAAAGGGTTCGTCGTGTAACTCTACGCCTGTATCTGACCTGTCGTCCTCGCCCTCCCCCCTCTCCTGACCTCGTGATGGCGTCGCTCTCTGCAAAACGGACTCCCTCGCTCTGCATCTGACTGCCAGGATGGCTGACGGCCAGGGGCGGGAAAGAAGAAGTGGGAGGGGGGAGGCCGCCCGCTAGAGTCAGGTGACGGCAGCGAGGTAGCAGAGCGCAACCAAGAATGTTAATGGGCACCGGTGGATAGCTATCGCACTTAACATCAATTTACCCTCGCGGGCACAGTGGGAGGGGGGTTGATGCAACCCCCTACGTTTTTTTTCGCAAATAACTCGCGTAAAAAGCGGCCAATCGCGACGAAACTTTCAGTATCTTCGCGTTAATCAATTTAACGCCTACCCATAAAATTTCATGACCGTGCCCCAAATGGCCTTTGACCTGTGACCTACTTTTCGAGACCATGTTTTGCCGGAATCGCGATTCGGCTATGTCGGCCCGCATTAGCGGCGCGTTTGCAGTCTTTTCGTGGTTTCAAGCGTTCAGACATGTGATATGATGCTGCTTCCATGCATTAGGTGGGGTATCAAGGTCACCTGAAGGTCATGTCAGGGCATTGACTTTTGATGACCTCGGTTCACTTTTTCGAGCTTTACATATTTCTACATAGACTAGTTTTTGGAGCTGAATTCGAATTTAGCAGCCATTTGAACATTTACGAAGTAGTTTTGGTGCGAAGACCTGATGGTTCGACCTCGATTGTATTTGGATATACTTTTATAGCCTTCGCAGCAGTGTTACGAAGCTGTCAGAGGCGGTTGGCATCTACTACGAATACCCGACAGGACCCATGCTGGTTGACCTGACCTGACCTGACCTGACTTTGCCTAAATACATGAAGGCAACATCTGTGATCAAAACTAACATGATATTCGTGATCAGCACCCCGAAAACCTATAGCAGCCACACCTTACAACGTCCTAACAGGTCCCGATTTTCTCGACTTTTGGGTCATTTCAGAGAAAAGATCCGGGTTGAATCAAATGTCAGGTATGCCAAGTTTCAGCTCTCTATCGCCAGTGTGTTCGGAGCTATCGCGAAAAAACCCTATGGGGGGGGGCGGCACCCGCCCCCCTCGGCCGGCGAGGGTTAAGGTCAGGTCAATTTTGTGACCTCCAGGTTAAGTCAACGGATAAAAATGAACTGCTCTTCTTTTGGACGAAAACACTCAAGCGTCGGGATACAGGTAAGCATGACACACTAAGTCGGAAAACTTCATGAAACGTCTCTAAGAGATTTTGGACAATAACGTTAGATAGAAATATGATCGAGCGATGAAACACTTTATATGCGCTTAGCTCAACAATACGAATCGACTGGTGTACAGCATGACCTTTTCCATGATCTCGACCTGAGAACAAATTTTGAAGTTACCATTTTCAGGTTAACCTATTGTTCCTTCGACGCGTCTTGACGAGAGAAAAGCGATGCCGGCCAAATTAACGTAATACAAGCTCGGTGGCAAAAGTTATTACAGCAAAATGTGTTCCGCAAAAACGCGTCAACTTTTAAGAGTTTTTGCCCTCTGGAGGCTTAACCGTTGACCTTAGGTAAAATATGATTGCGATTTCCAGAAAACCTTTGAAAGAGCTATCGAATGCACTTTTCCGCGGCACTGTCTCTTTGTTGGTTCCCGAGTTATGCGCTGCTTTGTGAAAAATTCTCAAAATCAGGAGGAAACAATCGTGATATTTTTATTTTTTACCTGTGGTGACCTCCAGTGACCTCAGCGATGACCTGATCGAAAATTACTTTAATGATTATGAAGGATCTTATAGTAGGCTATCTATTGCTTTTGTCTGCGTCTTTCTATACGAGAGCTTTCTTATTTTCCGAGATAACCTGTTGTGGACAAATATACCACCCACCATCGTAGTACGGATCGTTTGGTTATAACAATCTCACCGGTTGTAGTGTTTTAATTAAAAAAATGCTTATTTCGTTTTCAAACTTTATTCAACAAATTGCATGCTAGATAATTGTACAACCATTGCCCTGCACCTTGTGTACAAGTGTCGTCGAAGCTATTAATACCTCAGCAACATTATTAGTAAACTTTCTCGTGTTTCGAAACCACGAAGGGACAAAACAGAGCTATGCGTATTTCCTTCATTCGCGGCCCGGAAATGACCGTACAAATACATATATGAAAGCTTTCAACCAGCGTAGGCTAGCATTACACAACACATACATTTGCCATTGAGAATCTTTGTCTCACTTCATGAGCACCATGCTTATACAATAAGCGCACGTTCCTTGAGCCGCTTCATGATTTATGATATTGTCACCGATATGCAATCGTTACAGGCATTATTCCTCAATGATGCAACAAGAATATTCTCATCTCTTATTCGATGCCCATCAAATCACTTGTTTCGTCCTCCATAGGTTATCGTCATCACAGCCGTGATGGCATCCGCTCTTGTTTCGTTCAGAGAGAGCCCTTTGGTTTCTTGAAATCCCTGGAGTGCTGCTGATGGATGGTCAGTACGGGACATCTTTCAGCGGGCCCTGGCTCTGGCCACGGCCTGCGTGCCAGCACGACCGGCATCTTGTCTCCCATCTCTACAGCCGCCGCGTGAGGATCACCCGACGCCTATCGAGCTGACTTGCACCTCTCGGACGGCACGCTCACTCGGCGGGCAGCTTGCGGGTGCCGTTCTCGGTCGGGGCGGCGCCGTTCTCTGCCGCCAGCACCTCCGCCGAGTCGGCCCTGCTGTGCGTCGGCGAGGTGCACTGGCTCTGCAGCGAGAGACAGTCGCTGGGCGAGCTGCGCACCAGCTGCTGTTTGCGCCACTTGTGCCCGATGGCGTACAGCTCCTGCAGCAGCGGCACCACGATGATGAACGTCGCCGCCACGAAGCCCCAGCCGCGCGACAGCGTGGTCCACGCCAGGAAGCCGGCGCTGTCCAGTGGATGGGCGGCAATCATGCTGCTCGGCCAGATGACGACGAATAGCAGTGTCAGGCATACGCCGGCGCCGTAGGCGGTCCGCTTGGCCAGCCGGAACCGGCGCACGATGCCGTCGATCGGCGGCCGCTCGTGGTAGCTGACGTTGCGCGCCTCGCTGATGTCCAGACAATCGCGGTAGACGTGCACCCACGGCGTCAGCGGATTGTCGATGTCGCGTGTCTTCTCCCACTCGTGTTCCATCTGCTCGGGTGTCATGCGCCAGTTGTCCGCCAGCGAGACGGCGATGCAGACGAGGCCGCCGACCGTCACCGAGACGATGTTGCCGATCAGCATCGGCGTCTGATGGCCCGTGTTGACCACGAAGTTGGCCAGGCCGCCCGGATAAGTGGATGCGTACACGAGCCAGCTGGTGATGCCGCAGACGCAGCCGCCGACGGCGCCGCCAATCATGCCGCGCGAGCTGACGCGCACCCACAGGATCGAGAGTGCGATTGGCACCACGGCCGACGAGATCAGGATGCCGGTGAAGTAGTACGTCCACGCCAGGTCGAGATCCACTGCCCAGCAGAAGATGCACAGCGGGATCGAAAAGAATGTCGTCCAAACGATGCTCCAGTTCTTATAGTAGAGCAGGCGCTCCTGGTATTCGCGGAACTGACCGTGCACGGAGCACGTGTAGTGCGGCTTCACCAGGCTGTCCACGGCGGCCCGCGCTGCGTCATCCTGTCGGCATGGCTCGCAGCGCTGCATCGAGGGGCACAGGCAACGCTTCGGGTCTTCGTTGGTGGGTCGCACGCGATGTCCGCAGAGGATGCACTCACCCGGGGCCAGCTCGGCACGGAACGGCTTCAGGTAAATCTGGTAGACATCGTAGATGACAATAGAGGCTACAGCGATTATCTCAGCCGAGCCAGTGGACATGACGGCCATCAGGATGAGGAAGAGCATGGCGTACTCACCGGTGCGACCGAGTAGCGTCTGTGCCACCATGGGCGCCACCAGACCCTTGGCCACGTCCTTGTCGCTCAGCATGGCGACGCCCTGGGCTGAGCTCATGGCCAGGTACGACAGTCCCAGAGTCGTAGCCAGGCAGAACGGGATGGCGAACCAGGTGAGGCCGCCGAGAATGAAGCCCCAGACGCCCTGCAGCGGCTTGGCGGCTACTGAACTCTGCCAGTAGGCCTGGTCGCAGAACACGGTGCCGAAGTTGCCGACGATGTTGACGATACCGAAGATGAATCCACCTTGCGAGAGGAAGGTCAGGTAGCTGCCGTCCTTGTTGCCTGGTGGCGCCTTCCAGCACTCAACGAAGTCGAAAATGCGCTCGGAGCTTCCGAACGGGTTGTTTGGATTGTCTGCAGGGTTGTAGTACACCTCGACGACCAGCATCAGGATCATGATGAAGATGAGCGCAGTGTTGAAGTAAGAGACGTAGAACGTGGCGCCGAGTCCGCCGATGAGCGTGTAGCCGCCGATGACGATGGCCAGCATCATAGCGGCCATTTCGGGACTGAGGTCGGCCACCAGGCTGTTAAGCACGGCCGTGCCGGCAATCGTCAACGACATCATCACCACGAGGTTGGTGAGGAAGGCGAACACGCAGTACACCTGGTGTGTTCGTGGCCCGAACCTCGCGTGGATGACCTGCAGGAACGTCTTGGCGCCGGGTGCGCGCGTCTTGAGCTGGATGGAGAGCACGGCGAACAGGATGATCTGGATGGTGGCGCCGCCGGCGTACCAGTACGGACCGCTGATGCCGTACAGGCTAGACACCGTCGACGACTGCAGAAGTGTGGCCGACCACGTCCACTGCGACACGATGGTGGTGGCCGTGAGGCCGATGGACACCTTGCCGCCGGCGTCGAACGTCGTGTCCAGGTTATCGGCGTCGTTGTAGATGTGCTTGCGCACCATGTGGAAGCCGTAGGCGATCAGCGAGGCGAAGATGCCGACGCCGGCGAACACGGCGATCGCCTCGGCCATGCTGACGGTGGGCTGCACGCCGCGGAGGATCTCGGTGCGCGAGGCGCGCGTCTCCAGCACCAGTTCGCTGCACTTCTCCCCGGTAGGAGTCACGGTGGGCGGCGGCGGGAACGCAGTCGGAGCGTCGGACTTCTCGCTTGTTTCGGAGGAACCTGAGGTTGCCAGTGCGGACGCGCCATCACTGACTGTCTTCTGGGCGCTGGCGCACGCGCTACACCAACAAGCCACGAGCAGCAGCAGCCACACGATTCGGGGCCTTAGCATCCCAGCTGACTTCACAAGAGAGCACCAATGAAACGTCTGAATGCGGTGATGACACACCACCTGCTCAAGCGGTGCACGTGTTCCGCAGCCCTGCAGTACCGCAGAACGTCCTTGGCCTGGCCGCCCGCCACGCGACTACTGCACGGAGGAAAGACGGCCGCAGACTGGCGGCCCGCACGGCTCGCTGCTTTTTTACAGCGCGGTGGACAGTGGTGGCGCTGGTGTGGCGCAGCGGGCGGCTAATATTACCGACCGGGCTGCCCGGGCCGGCCGCCGGGTCCGTCCGCTCCGCGGCCACTCGGTGATGGAGGAGGCACCTGTCCGGCCCGGTCTCCCCCGGCTGACGTCACCGGCCGGCCGCCCTCTCAGCGCACTCCAACGACATTCTTTCTAAGCGCCGCCGGCTGACGCGTGGAGTACCTAGTAGGTAGTAGATTCCCCTTCGTGTCACGCCTACACACCTGTTTGCCTACACCCGCCTACGTATCTGCTGTGCCTGATGTAGATTTAGATGTCAACCGCTCGTGTTTTTTTCGAAAATAAATGGTGAGTTTTTCATTGAATTTAAATTCTATTATTTTATCAAGTGATCCTTAATAATGACGATAAGTAATGCTCCAAATAAAAAGACAAAGGTGACGAATGAGGCCTCGAACAAAAAAAAGTCAGGCGATTATCCTGTGGCGTTGAAAAGTACCAAGAGTTTTCATCATGGCACGTGACACTTAACTTCAAACAAATTCTTTTAAAGCGATTCGTTTCGTTTCTTATCCAGAACGACGCCATGGATAAGAGATGCATCTTTGTAAAAGTCATTTTTCATCCATCATGACGAAGTGATACAGATTACTAGCGTGTCTGTAGTAGCTCTACGTTTAAATTCGCGTAGTTACCAACAACTTCTTCTGAAATGAGCTGATTTCAAGGTAAGGTTCAGCCTCTGGAACTGGTGGGTCAGAGTGAACAGATAATTACATAGAGGGAGAGAGAGAAAGAGAGAGAGAGAAAGAGAGAGAGAGAGAGAGAGGGAGAGAGAGAGAGAGAGAGAGAGAGAGAGAGAGAGAGAGAGAGAGAGAGAGAGAGAGAGAGAGAGAGAGAGAGAGAGAGAGAGAGAGAGAGAGAGAGAGAGAGAGAGAGAGAGAGAGAGAGAGAGAGAGAGAGAGAGAGAGGAAAGAGGCGGTGCTTGTGCTTCAATCTTACGTCTGTCAAGACAGCCCTCAGAATCTCAGTGACTAAGTGAGCACACGATGTTTTGATCATAAGTCATTGTGGACGAACGAAGGTCTGCGCGGTCGGATAGGATCATAGACCGGAGAGGCGCTCGCTGACCTGACACTATTTGTCCGGTCCCCTTGGGCGCTGCCAAACTGAGCCCACGTCACCGGAAGCACGCGTTCCCGTGACGGAATCGCTGTCATACCGACGAGCCGGCCGGTGTTTTTCCATTGGCAGTTGACCCACAAGGTATGCCAGACACTCACAGAATGACCCAAGGTGGCTGGTGAATAATTACAACTAACGTACGACCGCTTAGACTAAGAATGTGACATTGCACCGTATCCAGCACACATGTGTTCTTCGGCTATGACACGCAGGAAAGGGATTCGCGTTGTCACCATTAATGCTTCAGAGATGGTCCGGGGTTCACGCAGCTGGATGCGTCACAAAGTTGACGTTTTCAGTCGCAATGCTAGCAAAGTTAATGATTTGCAGGGACAGGCATGGGAGGCAGCACTTGCAGATGCATTTTTAAATCTTAGACCCACATACATAGGTACGCAATGCTTGCATATCTGCGAAAACGACTATATTACCCTAAAATCGATCAGAGGTAATGCGTGCAATAGTAACAAATAGCTTCGAGACATATGTTGGGATGTTCCAGTGTTGTTCATAATCATTAACTATTCCGTTGCGTTAGGTACTGGTATTCTCACATTTGATATCTAAATAAAAGGGTCAGCTATATATAGCATTCTTGTCCATTTTGAGAACATTCACATGCAAAACAGGTAGGTACGTTGAATCATATGCTAAATTGTTGGCTGCTTGGCGTAAAGCTGGGCTGTGTCTGCAATCACTCTTTTTTACTTACGAACATCATTTGGAGTTATAATTACGATGACCATTATTCATAAAGGTCATTTTAATAGAATGCCTTTAAAAACACCGGCCTCGTAAACAATTTTTTTTCCTAGAAAGTTTTTCGCTAACATACGAGTATAAGCACTATTTAGCTCAGCGGTCGAAGAAAGTCATGTGCTCACTGCAAGTCAGATAATTCATCGCCTCCGGAAGTCAGTGTTTCCGCCAGTATCAACTACATATAGGGTAGGTATTCGGTCAGCAGCGGTGCAGTGACCCGCTCTGGCCAATATAGTACGGCTGCGCGCTGCGCCTTGCTCAATGCCGGCCTGGCGTCGTTGGCAGCGCCTCGCCTGCAGGTGTCAGCCAACAGCGCGTGCAGGGCTAGGAGGCCGAGCAGCCGGCGCGGCTGCTGCGCCGATCCAGTTCCACGACCTAGGCTCTACACTACCGGTACATGCCAGGGCTGGGACAGCCCCCGTTGGCGCGGCTCTGAGCGCTGCATAGGGACTGGAAAATCCTGACGGCCGACTGGAAATAGATCGCGGAGCTGGCACGGCTACTTGGCGGCTCGATTGTAACGGTGGTGTATGGTTTTTGGTGTGATGCTACTATTGATTTGCTATGTTTGCGATTATGCATGTTATCAGTTATACCAAGACATACCTATACGTACTGCATAAGGTATGGATGAAAGCGCTCTTACATTAGCGAGGATGATCGGTCGACGACGTGCAAATTTCAAATCGCAGCCCTCGCCGGATTTGCTGGTTTTCTACACACACCCCGGACGATGACAAAGGAGTGGGTGGGGGAATTTCCTTGCTGTTTCGTCCACAATTTTGCTGGAGTTTCGCGAAAAGCGAGGATGTAAGTACATACCTACATGGTTCGAGAGTCGAGACACAGCAACTAGTAGGTACCCCAAATCCGAATTGATCTTAGTGACGTCAGAGTGACGTCATCCAGTGACGTCGGAGGTCAGGTCGAACGCTCCAACCGCCACTCGTCCCTCTCACTTGTGAGCACTGCATCTCTCGATCTTTATACAGTACAGTAGTGAGCTGTGTTGTCAACATTCGATGGACAAGTCATCCATCCGCTGCAGGCTAGGTACTGGCTGGCCCTGGCCCACATAAAGCCCCGACCTGCCTCCTCCCTGTAGACTATGCGCTCAGAGGAAATTGACAGAGTTCCGCCTATGTCTACTTTTATATTCAGTAAGAAAATAATAGCAGAGTTGTTCGTGTATTGCCTAGAGCTGGAAGACATGACGTGCCGTGCGTACCCTGTAAAATATCATAGCATGTTTCGTGTTATACGCCAGAGAGCCGTTTCAAATGTTATAAAAATAGGAACTCGAGAAATGCCCGTGGACGGAGACCACTGGCTTCAACACAGAGGATTACTTCTCTTGTTTTGTTGTGCTGTGGCTGACTTCTACCATGATGCTATATTTCAAATCTTCTGATGAGTTAGGCACTCATTAAAAAAGTTTCTTTTTAAGTGTACACGGATGTATTGGAAATACGGATCATTATAAAACATCAGTGAACAGTTACACTCCTACTCGTAGTGAAGGTTTCATAGCACAACGCATATTGCACTTATTGCTTATCACAAAATGCATGGGCCTTTCTAATTCTGGTGGCAAATACGAACTAAAGGTTTCAGTGTCGTTGGTAATTTATGGCATTAGCGTTCGGGGCACAGCAAATGCATTTGCAAACCCAAAGTTGTTCAATTCAACGACGAGTGAGTGGTGATGCAATGTATGACACATACAAACTGAAGTTTTCCTGACTCGGCTGGCGTTCCCAGAACTCTGCTGGAAACGTTGCATCGCCCTTCAATTGCGTCGATTGTTGACGAAGCTGTCCACAAAACTGTTTACACAGAAGATCAACAGTTTGCCAGTGCCCTCGCCCTGATTCACCCAGAAACTCCATGTGTGACCTGGGTTCCAGCAAGCTCACCGTCACGGCTAGACCCGGCCGCGTTCCACACGCGGCCCAGCCCGCTCAAACACCGTGCTGACTCGGCCGGCGCGGCGGGGCGGGGCGCGGCGGGGCGGGGCGGGGCGGGGCGGGGCCGCCTCTCCAGCCTTCCGGTCTGACCCCGGAATGCCCGCGGCGGCACTGACGTCACCGCCCGGTTCGACGGGTCGACGGAGACGACTCGGCGCGTGGACGGTGAGGGTACCGAGGCCGGCCGGGCCCGGTCCGTCACCGCCCGCTCACCGCTCCGCCCGCGCTGATCGGAGCACGGAGAACGACACTGTTTTCCCCACGTCATGTGAACGGAAATGTCAGCGTCAGGCCGAGCGGAGCGGCTGAAGATGCGCTGCTGTGTAAACGCTAGGACCGAGAATGACGAGAGCCGCACCGCAGCGACCTCGCAATATGCCGCAGCGTCACCGGTGATCCGACTCGAAGCGGTACATTCCGGCGACGCTAAAGCGCGAAAGTCCGAGATGTGTTTATGGCGGGACTTGAAGACCCGAGTGACGGCCAGGAAACCGACTAGTCTGACCCAGCTGGAGGCTTTCGCCAGGGAAGAATGGGCCAAAATCCCACAGGAAACGTGTGGCAAGCTTGTGAGCACCTACAGGAACCGACTAGAAGCAGTAATAAGGAACAAAGGATATGCTATCGACTACTGAAGAAAGACACTGAACTCTGAAAACCAAGGGTATGAATATTTTTGAACATGAGTGTTTTCAAAGATTCATGAATAAAACAGACCTGAAACTGAATATTTTGTTAGTTGTATGTTGCTGTTATTCATTCCCCTGTTGGTCATATATAAATCATAAATAAGCTCGACAAAATGTTTTCTTTTCATCAAAAAAGCAAAATATGTCGTAAATTAACAAGGGTATGCATAATTTTGAGGACGACTGTAGGTACAAATTGAAGACTGGTAAGCCGTCAAATATCTTACATGTCTTTTCCTGTAAAAAGAATGTGCCAAAATTATATTGATTAAATGTTTTCAAATAACTATAGGTACCTATTGCTCACTGGCCTTCATCAGTGAAGGACCAACCTAAAGAACGATGTGAACACAGTGAAAGAGCACAGCACAGTGAACAGTGCGTTGTTTCTCTGACATAGAGGCCTGTGACCGACATAATTTTGAAACATTCATTCAGCATTAATTTGTTCATAACGCTTTTTTTTTCTTTGAAAGGAGGAAAGGTCATGGAGAAAGATTTAATTGCATTATTAACAATGATGATCCTCGGAACAAGCGTTGCAAAAGATTGCTCACTGAAAAGCAAGCAGTTGAATGGGCAGAGCGCCACTCTAGGCTGCACGACGACAGGACAGAGGCCTGGATTTGGGGACAGGGTGCCTACCAGGTTCCGGTTCACATGCACGTAATTCCAAATTCGCTCTACCTAGAACCATGCAATTAGCAGATCAACGAAAATATACCAAAGGCATGGCAAATGTCCTGATAAGTGTGCACACAGCAGGATCAGCTTTTTCAAATGGCGTATTGCGCAATGATCTCCAAGAAAGTGCCGTTGAGAACAACTGGTCAATGCCAGATGCAAATTTGCAGTCGTTGATGA